GACGTAAAAACGCTTGGTGGTTCAACTTCACATTCATTTATCATTTTGGCAGTACAACCATATAGTCATGTGCGTGAAGTACAAGTAATACTGCAAAAAAGCTATAAAACGGAATTTAATGAAAAGTAAAGGAAAAAATGCTTTTAGTAAACTATTGATTGATTGCTATATTTGAGAGATTAAGAAAACCGCACTTATAAGCTATGCCAACTAACAGAAAAAAATTTAAAAAAGCAGCAGCATGCAAAAGCTCTCACAATTTTTTGTTCGAGATCAGCTGGCAATTGACGAGCTCAACTGCCACTATTAAATGGCAATTAATCAGCTAGCTGGCTCATTGATTGGAGTTGACTTTCGTCTTCTTCTCTTCAAATGATGTTTTCAATATTACTGATATTTACAGGTAAGGTTACTGTTACTATTACTTACTGTGACAACGTTTTCTCTATCACGTCGAATAAAAACTCATAAAAGAGTTTAGTAGGTAAAGTTACAGCAAGTTTTCTCCTAATTTTTCTAAAAAGCACGTTTTTCGGAATTCAGCTTGAAGATTATAAAAAGTGCCTTTTATGGAGATATTTAGCCATCGTCTTCCCAGTCTTTTCGTATGTCCGAGTTGTTGGCAACCTCGCATTGGTAGCTCGACCAATTGGGCATGTTGGCACTGATGCTTCTCCAGTTCAGTCAAATGTTGGAGAATTCTGGTGATAGCACATTTGAAAACAATCCGTGAAGATGCAGTAAAAATTCGTATTTTTAGGTGTGGTATTGAAAAAGTTGGGGAAGAAATACCCGTTCAGTATGGGGAATTTACTAGGCTTCGGGATGGGAAGGTAAACGTTCATGTGCACAGCATTTATTGAGATTAATTGATGTCTTGAATTGGATAAATTAGGTCTTACCAAGCAGTTTTCTTCATTTTTAAGATATTCGAAGGGAAAGTGAAGGACAAAAAAGCAAAACTACACTTTGGCCGAGCTCCTGCAACTGTTGCTGGAAAATACTTATGCGAAGTTCGCGGAGAAGATGGAAAGATCCTAAGTGGAAATATGTTTGTTTACTGTAAGTGGCAATCGCTATTATTGTATATAATCGTATAACTACCGTTAGTTTGTTTAAATGTTTTTTTTTCAGCCCCTCCCGTGCTGCGCCTTCCCAATGGATCAACGTACCACGAAGTTTGGGGTGCTCGACCGCCAAAAGTGATCGGAGGAGTACGAACGGTCAAAAGCGGTGGTAGTTTAGAATTACGATGCCCTGTTTTTGGATATCCTCAACCATGGGTCAGATGGGAACGAGATGGAGCATCTATAGGTATGTCAAACTGATATTGAGAATTTATCTGTATCACCTTCCCTATAAATTTCAGAGCCAAACCCTTCCCTTACTTATGATGGCGATAACATAATCATATCACACATAGAGCCTAGTATGGCCGGAACATACACTTGCATTGCTGATAACTCTTTTCCAATGTTCGTTGATGGACCAGCAATGCCACATCAGCTCATTTACGAGCAAAAAGTTATTGTTGATTGATAGTAAACCGTTCTTTCCA